TCATCTTATCAAAGCATTCATTATCCTAAGACATGGGGAGAATTTCTTGCAAAATAAAACAATATTGTTCACTTAGGGAAAACATAGAGCCTGCTGCCGAAACCCATCATTTTTCTATTCTTCCTTTTTCACTTATTAAGTTATGATTCTCTATGTACACAGTACCTTGATTTGTTTAAATTATGTGGATTCTGGGCTGCTTTGTAAATTTCAAGCGTGCATTATGCATGTTTTAATGAAGAATGAACCACGATTCCCGGGGAAAGCTCCGTTCAGCCTTGTCGCACTTCCAGATGTGCACCTGGACCTTTCTTCTGTCTCACATAAAAAGCTGGTGGGTATCTTCCTGAGGGCACCCTGTTAATGAATCCAGATACAGTAAGATGTATATCGTCATTGTGGTAATGTGGCAAAATAGCTTAAAAATGGAAAATAAACCGGGAGTCTGGCTGCTGAAATGTGAACACAGTGTTTCTCCCTAATTTGCTGTTGTCTTGGAACCTAGCTGTTTATGCAGTGCTCTCACCTTCTGTTGCTTGTCTAAGTGCCAGCTTCTTTCCCAAAGGTGCTCAGTGACTAATGCTTTGGTTACAAGCCAGAATATTTTATAAATGTCTATTTCTAGGCAGCTCGTCCACAAGTCTTAATTAAACTTTAATGTCAAGCTGAAGTTTACTTTTAGAACCTCTTAGGTTCCTTCAGTTGTAACATGATTGCAGAGCAGTGGGGGGAATGTAGGACGCCTGGGTCTCACGCATTTATTTTCTCTCTGCCCTCCGTGCCGCCAAGCAGATGCGTGCTTGTGGAACACCAAGGTTTAGGACAGGAGCCTGAGGTAATCACAGGCATTCCCTGAGAGTGGGAGGAAGAGCGCAAGGTCGCTGAGTCTGTGCTTCCTCCACCCTGAAAGGGTAGCTGTGGTGTAGGATTACTGTTGTGTTAGTTATTACACATCCTTCCGGAAAAGACCTAACGTCTCACACCCAGGGATCAGAAGCTAGAGATGCTGTGCACCCACTTGGTCTTCATTCCTTCCTTCTCGATGTCACCAGTGCCAACCCAGGGATTCTGAGGTCAGGGGGGCAGGGTGGGGTGGTTTCTCTGATGCTGCATCTGACGCCATCCCAAATAACAAAGCCTCTGTCCGTGACAGAATGATCAGATTTAAAATACAGTTATGTCCTTTTGTGTGCTTATTTTGCAACTAATGATACTTAGGTAGTTCTATGCCAGAGCCAGCAAACTCTTTCCATGAAGGGACAGAGTAAATATTCTAGGCACAGAGGTCTGTCTCGGCCTCCCACCTCTGCTGTCACAGTGCAGAAGTCGCCCCAGATGAATGAATATGGCTGTGTTCCAGTAAACCCCAAGGACAAAACCAGAAAGGGGATCTAATTTGGCCTTTAGACAGTAGATTTTGAGACCCTAGTCTCTGTACACTTGCTTTTTACATGACCATTCTGTAGTATGTTTTTATTTTTTGGTATACTAGAGTGCCTTAGAGTGTATTTTGTTATTTAAATATAAGTTGTTGGTATAATTTAAGCTGGGTGCCAAAATTAGCCAGATTTAGACATGCTTAGGAGCTAATCCTGGGTTCACAAACTGTAGAGGTCTCCTTCTAGACAGATAGACTAACCCAACAGAAATACATCTATATGTTCCCCGAAAGACTGTAATAGCTCCAAATTAGAATTGTCAAAATTCCCTATGATTTTTGAATGGATAAAGAAAATGTGGTATGTTTATAAACAGATACATATATGCCAATGAGGATAAACCATTCACAACTCCATGCATCTGTAGAATTTAATGTTCTAAGCAGAATTTTAAGTACAGAAAGCCTGATAGGTAAAAATTAAATACTCTGTGATTCCACTTATAAGAAATAGAAAACTGGGCAAAGCCAATCTGTAGTAAAATAAAAAAGGAAGATGATGGGTAGGGGAAGGGATGGGGTGCAAAGGCATTTCTCTCTCGTGCTGGTGATACATTTTCTTGATTTGGGTGTTGCTTTCATTAGTGTATTCAGTTTGTAAAAATTCCCTGAACTGAATTTTAGGATATGTGTGTTTTTCTATATGTTGCTATCTTGATAAGTGTAAAACGGAAAGAAAAATCAGGATAAGAGGGGAAGAATTTTTAGGTATAATTGAACTGTGCAGCTTCTTCAATCTCTACCATTAGAAGGAGAAGAATGGGGAGAAGCATCTCTAATTTGTTTGCAAATTCTGAAGTTCATGAAAATAATTACTTCTCAGAAACTATATTCTTTCCAGGGGCTCCTGGGTGGCTCAGTCAGTTAAGCATCCAACTTCAGCTCAGGTCATGATCTCACGGTCCTGGGATTGAGACCCTAGTGGAGCCCCACATTGGGCTCTGTGCTCTACGGGGGGTCTGCTTCTCTCTCTCTCTCTCTCTCTTTCTCTCTCTCTCTCTCCCCCTCTGCCCCTCCTCTGGCTCATGCACATGCTGTCTGTCTCAAATCTTGGAAAAAAAAAAAAAAAACTATTTCCAGTATTGATACTGCCATTAATTTATTGGTTAGTTCAATAGCTGTATTGCTACTAAAATGTTATGTTGTGTGATAGGGTATAGATCATATGAATGTAATAGTGGTAGATGTTTATTTAATGAAACATTTGGAATTTGTATACTGTCACAGGACAGACAAACATGGATATCATTTGGTAGAATGTATAATGATGAGTTGATGAACTTTCTTTTACAGTCTTTTATCCAATAATTTCTTCAGGTTTTCTGATGTTTTTCTTTAGTGTTATCCCACCATCTTTAATGTTTGATACAGTGACATACCACATATATTTTTTGAACACTGTGTTTGTAGGCTCTGAGAAAACAGTGATAATCATGATCTAGCATCTACTTTCCAGTACTCACTCTAGTGATAATAAAAGCAGACTCTGTGAAAATACTGCCTTAAAGGCATGCCCAGTGTGCTGGGAGAGGGAGAAGCTACTTTTGTTAGGGGGAATGCAGTGCTGAGTGATAGGGCTTAGCAAAGAGTATCAACGGGAAGAACTTCTCGTAACTATTAACACTTCGTTGAGTCTTGAACAAGAACAAATCAGCCAGAGACACAAAGAAGGGAAAATGTAAAAGAGTGGTAGCTTGAATTAAGACACAGACACAGATATTTGGATACCTGTTTGCAGGTGAGTATGTCTAAAGCAAAGGAATGAGTTGTGCGGTGCAAAGTGAGGCCTCCCGTGCTGTGCTTGTAAGTTATCCTTCATCTTGAAGGCACTGAAGCGCGTTAAGCAGGCACATGACATTGTCACGTTTGCTTTCTGGAAAGTGATCCTCTCTGGCAGTGTGAAAATTGGACTGGAGAAGGAGGGCTTGAGAAATTAATTAAGGGTATAATCCATGTTAAGTCATGTTCAGTCATGAAGTTTTCCTACTTTTATATTAAAAAAGAAATTAAATAGTCCTAAAATTAAATAAACCTAAATAACCAGAATGGTAGAAGAGCAAGAAGCAACATGCCCTGCTACCTTCAGGCAAAAGTGGTTCCCTGCCTTGAGTTCCCAGGGCTCCTCATTCACAACTCTTTCCCATGGATTGGTAATATTTGTTTATATTGGTCTATTTGTCTATACATCTGTCTTTTACAAGCTCTACAAAGGTGGGGATCTCTTAAACTGCTTTTGTATCCAGGAATGATGAACCTAATAATTATGTAGGGGGTTTCAGTTATAGTCAGTCATTATTGTGTCTTCAAATAATGGCTACAAGCGTAAATTAGTAAACCTGTTCTTGAACCCTGTTTTCAGACACACTTTGTTTTAAATCAGTCCACAAATACCCATTGAATATGGACTCTGTGTTTCGCATTTCTATAGTTTATCTGGACACTGATCTTCTATACATTGTTGATCAGAATGGTACAGTGTAAGCTTAAGGAAAGCTTCTCAAGAGCCAGGAGAGAGGTTATTATTGCCGGGATTAGCCTCACCTGACACTTTCCTCTGGGTCACATCCTTCACTGGCTGAACCAATTTTTCTAAATTTTAAATTCTCCTGTAGAATCATCGTGTAAAAGTTTTCTTTGGGCTCTTCTAATTCTCTCATTGGTAAAGAGCAGGCATTTTCCTGGAGACTTTAGAACATTTTGGCTGTGGTGCTTTGAAGAAGGGCCTTAAGCCTCAGGTTCTTTATATATATATAAACGTGTTATTCTGAGGATTTCATGGGATGTGCATGAGCCAAATTTTCAGCATAGTAATTACTACTCCTGCGGATGGCGGCTGAGACTTCAAGATGCTGAAGCACCTCTTCCCACCTTGAAGGCCTGGGGCCGGAGCCAGGACTGGAAAATCCTTACTCGTAGGTCTAGATTTGCAGCAGTCTGCTCTTTCTTTCCAGGTCACAGGATGGCAAAGCATGGCTGCAGTTCTGTTTTAAATGTGGTCTAGTTATCGGTAGAGGGGACCAGCCTGCCTTGAGAAATGAATTCTATTGCAACAGACTGTAGTGCAGTCCACTTGCTGGAGAGCCGTCCCTCCCGAGGCTGTGCTCATTCCACCCAAACCGCCTCTATTTGGGTGGTGGTTTTCTCCTCAGTCTCCTTTTCCCCCAGGTCTCTCCATTTCCCCCTTCGGTTTACGCAGCAGCTAGGTCAAGGTCTTTTCCAAAGTAAAGAAAAGAAACAAAGCTTTGCTTTTAGAAAAATACTGTGAAATACTGAGGAAAATATGTTAAAGCCCTAGAAGCGAAACAGAAAGGAGAGTAGCTTAATTATGACTAATTAAAAAATAACAAACTTCCTGGCTAATAGCTGATTGAATTTATCTGAAACATGAAGAATTGAGTTCTAACATGAATTGGCATCTACTTATATGGGCTCACCTCCCCCGTGTTTTTTTTTTCTCCCAAATTAGTATTTTATGACCAGTATAAATGAGGGGATGGGATTTTTATTTCCCAAACATTACTTACTTGTTACCAAGCAGTATTAAATATTACTTAATTTTTAGGCCACATGAAAATAAGACCTATCTCGCTGTTGGAAGTATGAAGACAGTAATGTTGAACGTGTCCTTGTTTAATGCTGGAGATGATGCGTATGAAACAGCTCTGCACATCACACTCCCCACCGGCCTTTACTTCATTAAGATTTTAGATCTGGTAAGTATCAAATACCATAGCATGATACTGTATTTCTTTTTTTTTTTAAATATAAATGGTGAAGGGGCACCCAGGTGGCTTATTGGTTAAGCTTCTGCCGTTGGCTCACGTCATGATTTCAGGGTCCTGGTTCCAAGCCAAATGTCCAAGCCCTGTGTCCAGGCTCCCTGCTCAGTAGGGAGTCTGCTTCTCCCACTGCCTCTCTGTGCCCCCACCCCGACTTGCATGCTCACCCTCTCTCGAGGAAATACATTTTTAAAAAAATGTAAATGGCATAATCCATTTCATGGAAGTAGGGCCTAAATATTGGGGTACATGCGGACTTACCACTCAAAATTCCATTGCTTTTCAGACTACTACTTGCTCCTGATCAAAATGATAAGTTCCTTGGTATCTGAGGTAGAAAAAGTCCACTTCTCTCTTGTAAATGTTACCACGTGAGAGATCCTCTTGTCCAAGCAAGCTGCTTGGGTGCCACTGCTTCTCTCATTGATGACACACTCATCTGGCACCACGGTGCCATTCTTTGTGTCTGAGCTCCCTGAGCAAGCAATACTGGTCCTTCAAGCAGGCGCCCAGAGTTACTGCTCGCATTTTATGTTCACATCCCCAGTCTTGTTCGCCAAGAACTTCCAACAAATACCATACAACCAGCGATCCTCCAAAATTCTGAAGTCTTGGTATCAACCAGATCACAGGCAATTTCTCTTTTCCTACAAGAGTTTGAAGCACTTAGAGACCTTTTCTCACCACCGTGCCTCAGTCGTGAACAGTTAAATCTATCAGCAAGGCATTAATAAGGTCGATTTCAAAGAGAAAAGCCTCAGTCACTTTCCCCTTTGGTGCCTATCTTATCCCTTAGCAAATTTACACCTCTTTTACCCAGAGACTATCTCTTCAAACCAAGGGCAATTAGAGAGGTCTTTGACCTCTCTGGAATACGTTACTTCTTTCTCTAGAGCACTGGGAGCCTATTTGCAATAGTATGAGGGGAAAATTAAAAAATATATATACTTCTGTGTATATTTTATATATATATATATATTTAGTACATCTATAGTATATATATATATATACACACACATTTATAGTGCATATACCTCTATAGTACATAGTGTGTATTTATATGTATACATCTATAGTATAATATAGTATATAGAAACATCAAGATATATATTTCCCTAAATATTTGAATATTTATATATATCTCCTATTGTGGTGGCAGTTACTGTAATTATACACCTTTACCTCATTCTCACATCCCAGACAAAAGAGGATCAATGAAACAGGGACTTCATGGATTACTCGCTTCATGATTTTTCAAGAAACTGGACCTTGAGTTAAATAAGGAAAACAAACATGGATGAAAGCTACAAGGCCAGGAATTATTCTGTGTATTCTTTGGAGAATTTACAGGAATATTAAAATATACATCTGTGTGTGTATGTGTACCCACTTATAAATTTTATTTATATTTCTATGTATCCCAAAAGTAAACAGAAAATCATCTTCCAGGAAGGCAAATTCTTCAGAAATGATTTGCTTTTCAAAGACTGTTCCTAAACATATGTTACAAACTTTTCCTTCCCTTCTTACCTAAAGCGTTTGTTTCATTTTTCCTTCTAGGAAGAAAAACAAATAAGCTGTGAAGTAACAGACAGCTCTGGCTTAGTAAGACTTGACTGCAGTGTAGGTTACATATATGTTGATCACCTATCAAGGGTAAGCATTTAGCATGTATAGTTTTTGCTTACTAACATGAACATAAAATATTTTTTATTTTTTCTGTTTATGCTGCATACAAATATATAATTATTTATTTGCTTAGGGTAAGCAGCTAAGTGATGAAATAAAACTCAAACCAACTGGGCTTAGATCTCTGAGATTGTGTTTATATTCTTGGCAATGTTCACTGTAAAAAAAAAAAAAAAGTGGGGGCACATGTTTGTGTCAAGATGGGCCTGTGAATGTGTCGATCAGCATTCTCCTCCCCTGTCTCACCCTCCCCGACACTCCCCCTACCACTCTCCACCCCAGGTGGTCCTATCTGCCAGGCATGTTACCTCTGCTATACAAAAAGGTGTTACTGGCAAGAGTCCTCACTCAAGTTGTTAAAGCATCTCTAATTTTGTCAGTCTGGACCTGCCTGTCTTTCCATTTAGAAGGAGGCTTTGTCTCTGAATGTCACTTGTGGAAACGCTGGTGCTTGAAAATCACCCCAACCCCAACAGCTTTCTCCCTTAGCTCACTGCTTGGGGGAGGGGTAGCCTGTGCTTCTAGAACATAGTCTCCAATCTGCATTCCACAGAACATCAACATTCAGAAGATTTCAGATGATAAAAAAAAAAACTGTTTTTAGATTTTGTTTAAAATGGGTGTTTCCCTCTCTGTGTTTCACAGATAGATGTCAGCTTTCTGCTGGATGTGAGCTCACTCAGCAGAGCAGAAGAGGATCTCAGCATCACAGTGCACGCCACCTGGTATAATTCACTGTGAAAAAACAATGGTGCTACAGAAGTGGACTCCTGACTTTAGGGTGGGGGGACATAGGGGAACCACGGAGCTGTGATCCATTGTCTGCAGGAGAAAACTTCTCTTGTGTGATCTAAGAAACAAAAAGATCTCTCACTATCTTTGGAGCAAATAACACTAAATAGTGAGAGCAAATTTCTGTCAACCCTGTCATAAACATTGCTTACCACCACGTCTTTTTCCCCCACTCCCCAAGCCTCCAAATACATTCGGTATACATGATAGGTGATTAGTCCTCTCTGAAGATGATTTTTATGTCTGGGGGATTCTAACAGGGTGTCTTTTATCTGTTTCTGTAGTGCAAATGAAGGGGAAAGGGAGGACCTGAAGCAGAACAGAGTGACTTTAACAATACCTCTCAAGTACGAAGTCATGCTAACTGTTCATGGGTAAGTAAATATGGACATCTCTTGTAAAGTTGAGAGCCGATTTTAAATTCTGGTGCTTCTTATATTATTGGTCAAAAAATATATTGAAAAATTTTTTAAGGAAAGCTCCTGTGCTGTTTCTATCCCTTAAAAAAGACCTGGTGTTGCATCCTCTTGCTTCGTTCTTCATTAGTCTCATGCACTCTATAATCATTACTGAGGCCTCTTTAAGCTAGTACCCGGTTGGAGATTTCTTCCTGGAAAAGCCCCAGAAGCCTCTAGCAGGTCATGTCCAGCCTGTCAGTTGTACACTATAAGGGGCAGGGGTGGGGTGGGGGGGAATGGAAGTGTGCCATTAGCCTGATAATGCTCAGTGGCTGTGGTGAGAGTAAAGTTCTAGGAAGTATAAGCTTGGCCCAGTCACCACTCTCCAGAACCCACCTCTACCTGTGTGGCAAATCGATGGAGATAGGAGAGCACCAAGCTGCAAGGTGTCCCCTGACCACTCATTGACCCATGAATTATGGAGTTTCTCACCCATGGCCCCAGAGCCAGCATTCACTGGTTCCCCACAATATTAGTGATTGTGTGCGCCCTCCTCAGATTCAAGAAGGAAACATGTAGAAAAGATTTAAGGTGTATTAAGAAAACCCTTACTGATTTTACTGGAAATGATTCAGACTATTAGCCTTTGTTTAAAACAATATTCTTTTTAAAGGATTTTATATATTTGAGAGAAAAAGAAAGCGGGAGAGGGAGAAGCATGGGACTCCGATCCCAGGGCCCCAGGATCATGACCTGAGCTGAAGACAGATGCTTAACTGGCTGAGCCACCTAGGTGCCCCTAAAGCCCTATTTTTAAAGGACCAAAAATAGGAGATACCAAACAAATAGACTGATGAGCTTTTCTTGTTGCTCTAAATATAAACCATCCCCAATCATTTTTAACCACTCACAGAGATGGCATATAATTATATAAAAATAAAATGGTGTCTGCAACTGAAAGAACTAAGTATCATGTTTTTTCGAGGTGAAACAAGCAGGAGAGAGAAAGCCATTCAGGAGGGAAGACCCTGCTGTGTCAGTGGGGACCAGAGAAAAGCTGACGCCACGTTTCCTGATTTTGAAGCCTTATCTCACTTCCTTTTCGTGATTTTCTCATGATGAGTGTCCTCCACCTCATATTTTGGGCAAGGAATGTTCTGCGAGCATAAAACTGCCTAATTCTACAGTATTTCAATATTTCTGTGTAGCCTGTCACTTATTTTCATTACTTCACATTAGCTGCTAAATAAAAGCAACTAGTGGAGTTGGGATTCCCCAGAAAAATACTTCTTAGAAACCACTATTGACCTCTATGTCTAATCACAGGCAAGAGTGACAACCTTGTATTCCTAAGCAAAAAGTTTACCATACTTACTGATGTTTGAATTGTTCCCCAGCTTTGGGGTTCATTACAAATAGCCAACAGGAAGTGGATCACAGAAAGACACAATACAAAAATAGGTAAAATCGATTGACTTACAGGAAGATACTGGAGCTATAGGGATAAAGTTAAGAATTTATCTCCTATTTATAAAATTTGTATGAATCATTTGAGGGCTGACAAAGAAGGAATGGCCAGTGGACTGAAGCAGGCAGTGCTGGGAAGACAAACAGAGAGGATATTCGTGGGAAGAGACATTAACACCCAAATCAGAGCACACGGCTTTCTGAATTTATTACATTTCACTAAAATTCATAGCTTCCCAAGAAACCAAAAATATTCCTTGGTGCTTAGAGGCCTCTATAGTCTGGAATATAGTATTCATAGCATTTTTAAGAGAGATACAATAATCCAGCCTATAGAGAAAGACTGTATAATAGCTCAACAAGTAAGACCAATGAAATATGAACTTGTTTCTTTCAGATTTGTCAACCCAACTTCATTTGTGTATGGACCAAAGGAAGAAAATGAGCCTGAAACGTGCATGGCAGAGAAAATGAACTTCACTTTCCATGTAAGAAGAGTTGTTTTGATTATCTGTAGCAAAGGGAAAGCCTGGTACTGCTGCATTGCTCCCGAGGACATCATAGGCTGAGATGCCGGAGGCTTAGGGCCCCCCCACACCGCCCAGCTTTGCCCCCCATGGCTGAGGAGCTCCCCCACGGCTTAGGGGCCCACGGGTTCCTCCCTCACCTCTCCTACTGGGTTAATGCTCCTTGTTTTCCCTTTGTCTTGCCCGTTCACCGAAGCCCTTGATTCCTTCAAATACCCTGGGAAGGAGCAAGCACAGGACAGAGGGAACTCCTGAAACAGGCAAAATTATCAGAGGAACCAAATCTGCTAGAGGTGCAGAGATGAGGACAGGCCAAGGGAATGCATCTTTGGGTGCAAATCAGCGAAATCTCTTCTGGGTTCAAGCTTTTATACGAGCACTAACATTACCAGTAAAGGTAGCTCTTACCTCCTATGCCCCTGTTTAAGGTCGTGGTCAGCTGTTTAGTTCATAAGCATATAACCTGTTACAAGTGATGTCATTTATTAAATTGTTTTAAAAAATGAGTATCATCATCCAAACATTAATATAAAGGTAATTTTTAAAAAATTTTTACTGCCAAACTGACACTTTTGGGGCATCCTGGATGATAATTGTAGATAATGACCACAACGATGTTTTGAATCAAAAACAATGCTCCATTCTTAGAACTATGTAACAATCCACAGAGTGTGAGTGGGTCTGACTTTAGGTACATGATGATATTTTTTTGTAAGGCAATGCTTTTGAAAATGTAGGTTTGCGGGGCACGTGGGTGGTGCTATCAGGTAAGCGTCTGACTCTTCTGATCTCGTGGCTGTGAGATCAAGTCCCGTGTCAGGCTCCGTGCTCTGTGCGGAGTCTGCTGAAGATTTTCTCTACCCCTCCCACTCCAGCTTGTGCTCCTTCTCTAAAATAAATATATTTTTATAAAGCTGGATTAATATGTGGGTCAGAATCACTTGAGGTACTTACACAAAATGCAAATGCCTGGGCCCTGCTCCAGATTGTTACAATGACCTTGGAATCCTGCCGAGTCTGTGTATACGCAAATTTTTGTTGTATTAGTGGACATCAGTGTTGAAAAAATACAGCCCTCTGCTTTGAAGTCCCAAGGAGTGCTACTATCAGAGCCCCGTGGGATTTCAGCTCAGTTTCTGTTCTAGTTTATCAGAGCACAGACTCTAGAAGGTCTAGTCATTAGCTTACAATTCATACAGTTTTCACTAATTTAACTGGAAAGTGTTTTGCACTAAGTTACACTGGACGTACTTTCAGTCTGTAGGCTCAGTGTGTCTGTGCAAACGTGAGGAGGCTCTTAGAGGTCTTGGTGTTATTAGGTGAACCAGGATGAAGGGTATTGAGGTTGGACTGATCACTGGCTGGCACGAGGGAGACCCTGTCTAAAGGTCAGGGCAGTCCTGGGTTTTCATTGCTGAAACCTCCTTCAGCAACTGCCCTGTTACCCCACATTCTAGCCATTTCCATCAGCCAGGGGACACATTCTTCCATGTCATGTGCTTCCTAAAGATTACTGCAAATGTCGGAGTCACACTATTTCGTTTGGGGATTGTGGCACATCTCTTTTCTGACTTACTCTCTTGGTTTCACAGTTAAGCTCTCGGGAGGCAATTATTTTGAGCCAATTTCCTTCCTCAGAGAGCTGAAATCCCCAAATTTATCAGTAATGAAATATCATCTACCTATGCCTTATTATTAAGAGGCTGTTGTATTTTCTCTACCACTTTCTGAGTGCCTTGGCATTATTGTTACCCTGAACTATGTAACATATTCTCATTCACTTACTGCAAAGAGGAGCATTCTCTCAGCAGAGTGATGTTGTGACACAGAAGAGTTAGAGGTAGAATACCTGAGCTTCTTGTCACTCTGGAGCCATCTGAGGCACATTGTTCACACGTCTGAGCCTCTTCGGGAGCTGGAGAATCAAATGTCAGCTCACCTCACGGGACAGTTGTGAGGATCACCTGGTCATGGGTTTTTAGATACATAACTTGCCATACAAATGTATGTTATTGTCTTTTCCTTTAGACTGCTTCTGCAGTAACTAACAGTCTGGACATTTGACCTAAGCATATCAAAAGGAGAGGGCTGGAAATAAGGAACAATTAGCACACTCTTTAAAGTTCTGCTTATGGATATTCGATCTCCCTTCACCATGCTGATGCCGACTACACACCCCCCCCCCCCAGTTACAAATGTTTCCTGAAACATCCGGGTTCACCCAAAAGCTTGCTGATACCTGTATTTACATTTATGAAAAATAGGTTGTAAAAAAAATTTTCCTCCTTCCCAGGTTATCAACATGGGTCACAGCATGGCTCCAAATGTTAGTGTGGAAATAATGGTACCGAATTCTTTTACCCCCCAAACCGATAAGCTGTTCAACATTTTGGATGTCCAGGTAAAAATGTGTTCCTTCCTTTATTCGAAGTTATGTTGCTAAATGGGTATATCTCTTAATGTATTTGAGTCACGCTTTCAGCTGTGAATGCACCAATTCCTGAGTACACTTTGAATATTATCCATTGGAACTACAGGGTTACAGGGACCTCTGCTCTTCTGTCTTCAGTGCATTTTCTTTGTGAAATGGGCCTCTGGAAGTAATTGGTGAAATGCTCTATAAATTTTGAGTCTGCTGTTGAAAACCAGTATTCAGCCATTTTTTAACAGGAATCGATACTTTTATGTTGATGACTGTATCAGAATTGTTTCTTAAATTCCCATTTTCAAGACAAGCAGTCAAGAAATAAATCCTTCATTGGGTTTGAGATCTAATTTGAAAGTATCTTGCCTGAGTTCCAGACTTAAATGGCAAGACATGCTGTTATTATGTGTTATCGTTTTATTTTGTGTCTAAAGCCAAAGAAGTGTTAATTCCATGCTAAAGTTCAAATGTCCATTTTTCACGTTGCCTTATTTTCTGTCAAGTTAGGGCCCTGTGCTCACTTGAGCACCTATATCCAACCTAGTTAAAATGTTGCTGGGTTTCTGAGTTTTTGCCATGGAGACTTGATTTTTCCCAAGAAAGTCTATTCCAAAGATATTTTCACAATTTCAGAAATACTTGATATATTTTAGAAAAGGTAAGCAACTGGAACTTTTAAGAGCATGTAGTTTTTGCTGTTCTCTCCAGTATGAAATAAGATTTTTCTCACTTTCTATCTGTATAGACTACTGCTGGAGAATGCCATTTTAAAAATTATCAAAGAATGTGTGCATTAGAGCAGGAGAAAGGTTCACTGGAGTTCCTGAAAGACATATTCAAATTCTTGTCCAAGACTGATAAGAAACTACTGGTAAGTTTCCATTTTTTTGGTTGCAGATTTTGCTTCCAACATACAGAACCAAAGCACTTAAAACCAAGAACCAGTGGGTTTGAGCGGTCAGTTCAGTGCAGGAAAGAAACAACCCAAGGTAATACTCTTGCACAAGACACACACATGATTAGAGAGACCCAGAGTTTATATTTATACACAGACACACACACACATAGATATAGATAGATAGATAGATAGATAGATAGATATAATTTCATTATTAATCTAACCAATGCCTATTTTGTGCCAGCCAAGCCTTGTTCCAGATCCTTTAGGAGGCCAAGATAGAGTATTCAGCTGAGCAGACTTTGTAACATGAGATTAATTTTAATTCCTCTCATTTAGTGAATTTAGGAAAAAGCCAAAAACCCTGAAGAAGTGGTCTTCCCTTCAAATGATCCAAGTTTTACAAGCAACATAGAACATGTACCTTAACACAGTTCTGATTAGGAGCCTTTGTTTTAATTCTCAAAACACATGCCTCAGCTCAAATACTTTTTGTTATAATTTATAAAACAAACAAACATTCACGTTTTGTTTAAAGCAAGATAATTTTTAAATGCCACTCATGGGAGATGTTTAATTCCATGTAAAATATTTTAGCTACCTATAAAAAAAATGTTTTAATGTAGCTCTTTTGTATTTTTTTTTTTCAAGTTCTGCATAAAAGCTGATCCATACTGTTTAAATTTTTTCTGCCATTTTGGGAAAATGGAAAGTGGAAAAGAAGCCAGTGTTCACATTCAGCTGGAAGGCCGGCCATACCTTTCAGAAATGGTAAGTAAGATAAAACGACAACTTTGAGTTTGTAGATTCTGACAATCATCTTATTTATGTAGGATGGTATGTGAGGAGGCATTTAAGTAATTGAGGTATGAATATTAAAATTTGGAGTGGAACTCTACAACTATTCCCATGCATAGTTTCAGCTGCATACACTAAGTGATATGGCTTAAGTAATTAAAGAGAACTAAGACTGTAAAATAGACTGTGGAATAATTAAGAGGTTTATTTTAGAAAACATGTCCAACTAATTATAAATTTTGATTAAATCACAGAAATTGGCTACCTATTTTTTATAATATTAAGATTTTTTCTACTTTAAATTATGCCTAAATATTTAAGAAGTTAAACTAAGGCTTTCATAAAATGAAAACATCAAAATTTATCAATAATAAAACACAAGCATACAATAACACGTAAGAGAAACTCTGAAAGGCTGAATAAATAATACATCTTGAACTTCTTCCTAGAAATGAGTATGCAGATTTTTGGGGCACCCAGACGGCTCAGTCAGTTAGCTGTCAGGCTCTTTGTGTAGGTTCAAGGTCATGATCTCAGGGTCTTGAGATCACGCCCTGTGTTGAGCTCAGTGCTCAGGGGGAGTCTACTTGAGCATTCTCTCTCTCCCTCTGCCCCTTCCCTGCTCGTATTCTCTCCATAAAATGAATCTTATGAAAAAAATTAGAGATAAAACCAATTTTATGTGTAGTTCTGTTCCTCACTTTACCTGATAAATATGGATAAAGTATTTTTGTAGAGGTGTTGTAAAGCATTTAGTGCATGGTATATAGTAAGCCAAAGAAAACAGTAGTTCTATTTTGTTTAAAGAAGAATGTTTAAAATTGCTACACAGTGGTCAAGGAGGGAAGGAAAAAAAAGATCCACCAGATACCGAAGTAAGAGATTTCTGTTCCAGTTCCAGTTGTGCTAAAAACTAAAACCTGAGACCAGCAACGAGTTACTAAGACTTTTGCAGTTTGCAGCCTCATACCCTTGAGGTTCGGATTTCTCCACATTGGGCACTACTGGCATTTTGGACCAGATAATTCCTTGGTGCCAGGTCCAGTCCTGTGTATTGTAGGATGTTTAATAGCATTACTAGTCTCTATGAACTAGATGCTGACACACCACCTCCCAAGTCCTGACAGTCAAAAATGTCTCCAGAAACTACTGTCCTCAAGGTGATAAAAGAATCCCTGTTGGAAACCACTGCTTTAACAAAGTATGTAATTTATTTTCAGCCCTAAAATTCTACAACATTTATATAGTAGTTTTCACTTTTAAAGGTCATAGATCTCTTTAGGAATAATCTTCTACTGCAATGAATGCATATATGAGAAACTCAATTTTACATGCAATTTTAAGAGGTTCTCAGAGAAGGTGGAGCCCATCCCCGGATTCTTGGTTATGTAGTGTATCTTGGAGTTCATCTACTGATTTTATATTTGAATGTTATAATTACTTGTACCAGATTATGGTATTAGATAAACTGTATGTATTTTATCAGAGCAGCAAGATGACAGCATTGTTCAGGGGGAAAAAAAGCCTAGGTAAAATAAATTTGAAGAAACATTTATTAGGCGAAGAAAGTCTTATTTGGTAAAAGACACAATTTCTAGGAAACAAAACAGTGCTAACTACCAGATCTTTTATTAAGTATTACAAATATCTGCATCAAGTTGTCTGCAAACTAGTCATGTTTAAAAATTTTGAGAGAGAGAGAGAGAAAGCAGGCAAGAGGGAGAGTGCAAGAGGGGCAGAGGGAGAAGCAGAGGCCCAACTGAGCAGGAAGCCTGATGTGGGGCTTGATCCCGGGACCCTGGGGCCATGACCTGAGCCAAAGGCAGACACTTAACCACCTGAACCACCCAAGTGCCCAAACTAGTTAAGTTTAATAAAAGGATTTCAACAAAATGATGCCCAGAAAAATAATACAATGGCCATGCCTTTGGAAGTACAGGAAGTGTTGCATTGCAATTTAATACAAATGGTGAAATGAACTGGGGAATATCCATTGTAAAAACCTCAGAGAGTAGGTAAAGATCATGAGAAATTATTAATCTGTCTTCACGAATCAGGCTACAGTGATCTTTCTTTTATTAAACAGGATGAGACTTCGGCCCTCAAGTTTGAAATAAGAGCAACAGCTTTTCCAGAGCCTAATCCAAAAGTTATCGAACTAAACAAAGATGAGACTGTTGCACATGTAAGATTACCATTTTACCTGAAACCCTAGGATTATAAGGAAAAACTATTGATGGAGCTTTCAGTCAGGAAACTAGATTGCCTAGATCATGGAAGACTTGAAATACTTTACTGAGATTTGGCATTTTCCACAATTGGTGGGAGGGAACAATGCAGATGGCTTTTTTAGGAGGTGAACTTGGTAGAATTATCTGGATGAAGAAACATGGCGCAAGCCAATTCTACTAAATGGTTGCCAGTGTTCCCTAGGGTTGTTCGAACCAGCAAGAGGAGGAGATGGGAGTTGTTCAAAATACTATGGGAATCATAGATTGGGGAGGGGTGGGGAGGTGATTCAGAGGGAATTAAAAGCAAGTTTTTAAACTGGTGGCTCTTTATGTAGGTTCTGCTTGAAGGACTACATCATCAAAGACCCAAACGTCATTTCACAATAGCCATTATTTCAAGTAGCTTGTTCCTTGGACTTATTTTGCTTTTATTGATTTCATATGTTATGTGGAAGGTAAGCCTTTAATAATTATCCATGTTAAACTACTCAATAATGCTGTTTTTAATTTGTAACGAAGCCCCCTTTGTGACTCCCAAATTATGAAATATTGTAGCACTTTTAATGTTAACGTTTTAAATTCCCAAGTGACTATGCAGTACTGATCTCCTGTTTCTCCTAACTTCAGTACCAGTATTCCAACCGTGACACTAGTTTGGAAAGATGTTCTTTAAGAAAGCTCTTAGAAAACACTGCATATTACTTTTAATGTCCATTTTGGAGAGTATGTGTCACCGAGCAGTCCAATAAATTGCTCTTTAACACAATATTTCCCATCTGAATTTTACTACTTGGGACGGTGACTATTCAGGTGTCCAATGAGTGTAATATGTTCGCAACTATACACTACTGATTATGCAATACTGTTTACAGGCTGGCTTCTTTAAAAGACAGTACAAATCTGTCCTCCAAGAAGAAAACAGAAGAGACAGCTGGAGCTACATTAACAGCAAGAGCAACAAGGATGATTAAAGACTTCTTTCAAATTGAGAGAATAGACTCAGGTTAACCAAAGAAATTCAAGACAGTGTTTACAAGAAACCCAGAATTCTGCTCAGATTTCTCCTATGTACTTCATTTACTCATGACCTTGTGACATACTAGGTCTCGATGCAAGTGAAAAATCCCAAGCAATGATTACTCTTCCAGAGGAAAATAATCTCTCAGTTCTCAAATGGATAGAAAAAAACACTAAAGCATTCAATTTATTCAAGGTAAGTAATCCCTCGAAGATACCTTGAAATGAAAGTCCATCTGAATTAAATCATGTTGAGGAAGTAAACAACTCATTTGGAGAAGTCTTGGACTTGAAATATCATTCCTTTAAAAGAAATAATTTGCCAGGTGTGCTTGCTTCGGTAAAATAAACTCCACTGAATTCATTTCTAATAGATCTTTGGGACTCATTGGAAAAATCCCGCTAAATATATCTAAAGAACGAAGAGCTGTTCCTCAATTTTCTTATGAATAAAAGAAGACCACTAATGTTTTAAAGCAGATTTTATCTTTAAAGACCTTTATTTCTAATACCTTTATGATGGGCTTGGATCAACAACCATTTAGTCGGCAGTCTATGTAAGAGCACTTTGGGCCTGAGGAGCAAATTCCAGACTGAATTTATACACTGGTTTGAGTTTAATGACTTCTGGATAATTACTGTTTATACGGCTATGGATTCTTTCTGTATATATACATAAGTTCTTAAAAGAATATAACACATTTTTATCAAGGGTACCCAGGAGTAATGTCTCAAATCCATTTTTAGTGAAATTTTTTTACTTATAAAAACAATAGTACTTAAGAATTCTAACTTATACTCTGAAACAGATTGTGAATGTTGCACTTTAGCTGATATTTCAAATATAAATACACTGATAATATGTAAAATCTGAAAACTGTACCTCATTAATGACTCTTAAAAAGCCAAACTCTACGAAGACCGTGCTTGGAGGCCAGTATTCCATATAAATTAGATACTATGTAAAATAGTGACTGTCAAATCAAGCAAATGCCCCTACTGGTGTAGATACTACTTTCTCCTCAGATGTATGTATTACATGTGTTTTTATCAGGTGTATAAGATCATTCTCGTCTGCATGGAATTAGAGAAACAAAATCCGGAAATTTAACTTTTAGCTTGTATTCAGTGAATATAAATGTGACATAAAAATTTCCATGATCTGTTTTAGTGGTAAGTGAAATCGTTTTTATGAAAAAGATTCTGGATTTTAAATAATCTTTAGTATCTTTTCATTGCAAATACAGTCCTTTTTCATATTTATTCAGGCATGTGACCTGGATGCTGATAGCTGTGAGTTGTCCTATATCTGTCTTTATTGTTGGAAGCAATTAAATAGTAAAAGACTTCTATCTGAAGCCCCTGCCAACAGCGGTCTTTCTCAGGCTGCCTAAATTCCTGCAGGTTCTCTGTTCATGAGCCCACATTAGTAATTGGTGGCCAGAGAACAAGGAGGACAGAGTTTCTGAAGGCATTCAATGGGTGAAACCCAATCTGTGAGCATGAACCCTCCTGAACACGGTATATCCCAGCAGTCGTTAATTAAACTTAAAAAGGTATTATATAAGCAAATGATCTGCTTTTTTCATTACATAAAAAGCAAAGTAATCCTTTCAGGAGATTTTCTGGAATCATTGGTGGAGGATGATCCCTGAGGAAATTTAAATTGGGCTCTTTTCTATCCAGAGATGATAGCATGGTGGGGTATTGAGTGCGCTAAACCAGTGTGCTAGGATTGCTGGATAACATGACTTTCAGAAGCAAAGAGAAAACAGCTCCTCACTAGTTAGCTACTTCTTACACTTCAAAATTTGTTATGGATTTGAAAAGACTTATAAAGAAAATCAACAATTTTCAGTTTTCAGGGAATAGTCACAAAATTGGTTCCCTAACAACTTAAAATAGCTTATCTCTTTGGCAAATAATGTAGGTATTGGAGCCATTTTGAAATCTGGATTAGGATCTCACCAGGGCATCCTTAGGTAACCTCTGGCATCCATCTGTACCAGGCTGTAGGAAATTTTATATCCATAGAGGATGGACTCAAATCCTGAAAATTGAAAGCATCCAAATTATTTCACTTGGGAATTACTGACAGATCATTATGATGTTTTGAGTATATGAATGTTTGCTTTCAGTTCCAATAAATACTTTCTGAAACCAGAATTTAATTCATTATATTTCATGGCTTAAGCTCTAGAAGCTAATTTTTAGCAACAAAAATAGCAATTTTCATTTCTTTAAAAAAATAACTTTTCCCCTATATCTTTAATGCATGACCATATTCCTTCATATTAAAATTCTAGTTTGTACATTTCTTTTATAAACAATTACATGTTACTTTGGAATCATTCATTTCTTCCATGCTTCCTCCATAAAGACTGATAAGTCTTGGGTGTAATCTGTAAGAAATAGATGTATAATTATTTCATCAACCTCTCGTTATTTTTCACACATATACCTATTGAGTCTGGTACATTATACCAAATACCAATATAACGATAGCTAGAAAACCTCCATTTGTGGCAGAGCTGCAATCTTGTAAATGTGGAGGGGGCGCTGATAAATGGACACCGGTAATTACTGTAACATCCAGACATTGTGCCTACAGGGTGCTGCTCCTGCCCCGGTCTTCCACCCCTTGAGTCCTAATGCTTTCCAGCAATGAGTTTGCATGGTCCTAAACTTGTTTCATGCCAGTTGTCCTGTTACAGAGTATATAAAACTGTTCCTGTGTTGATAAGGTTGAATGCTGTGGAAAGAGTTGAGAGCAGCACGCCGCTGAATACAAAGTAATCAAGACTGGAGCTTTCAATGTGTACCCATCCGCTCCGCAGAGGGCTTTCACAAGGTTAAGCTCTTGATCCACTTTTAAGATTATAAAACATACATTGCTAAAATTACAAAACAAATTGTAGACATTATCTGTACAGTTTAGGGAGAATGGTCATTTGAAATGCCAATATAGAGACTCAGAAAATTTGGTGATGAGTCTATACGAAAATGCTTGGGCTGTATGTAACAACTGGTGAATAAATGTAAAGTTATACTTTATTTATTAAAATTGTACATCTATCTTTTTATGCTTCCCTGACTTGCTCATTAAAAAAAAAAGTCATAACAAGGCTGCTTCCATTACACTTAATTTTGTGTCTGCTGGTGGATATTGAAGGGGGTAAATAATGACACTTACTTGACCAGAACCTCTGATTCAGCTTCCACTAAGTCACCATCTATGTTCCAAGGGAAACTGTGTTCTGAAGCAGCTGCCTGCCGTCCATCATCCTCCTCCGGATCACATCCACTTTTATTCCTCGGACGAACTCTTACTTCTCCAACAGTGTAAGTCTCAACAAATGGAAAGTTGAACTAAATAAAACAAACACAAATAGTCACGGTGTGGGCTTTATCCCTAACTGCTCGTGCAAATTAAAAAGTTTACTGTGCTCTCTCTTGCACATAAATATCAACATGCATGAGGATATTTTTATAGCTTTGAAACTCTGCCAGGGGTCCCCAATTTCTTTGGGAGATCAAGCAAACTTGTTTTATGATCACTAGTCTGAGGTTGTATACAATATCATACCATTTTCAATTAAAGATTTTTTAATACCCAGCTGTTGACACAGAAGATTTATATAATCCACCAACTTACTAATTTGTCAATTAGTTGGGGTGATGTAAAGGAAACTAAGTTTCACACTTAGAATTTAACCGGGAAGAACCTAGCTCTAAGCTTATGAAGGTAGAAAGAGGAAGTCAGTCAAATGTGATTTTTGCAGGTTTTCCCCCACCTCAGTCCCACAGTCAAGATGGATACAAGTCACAAGACAATTGTTTGCTTGCCGACCGCTCTAAAGGGTGCAGGCTATCTTCAAGTTTGTTTTTGTTTGTCTAAGGAATCTTTAGTGGAAAAAAATATGTATTCTCATAAAAAAGAAAAGATAGCCAAATACCAGTTTAGTAGCAGAGCACAATAACCACTCACTTATTTCACTTTTTAGGTAAATGGCATGAGGTCTATTCATATGATCTACATGGGTTTTTCTCTCTTCCATGTATAAACCTCGGTGAGGTATGGAGTTCTAAAAGTTGACAGAAAACTAGTATTTTTTCCCCACACCCTTATTTTACCCAAGTAGAAACCAAGGCCCAGCAGATTTCACAGTTATACTGTATAATGCACTGGGCTACTACCATGGCATATACTGGATTTATAGGGTGGTATCAGCCATTCTAATGCAGGTACAGAATTACGGGCCCCAAGTAGCTCTCTGTGGAAGCACGGGGGCTCCCTGTGAAACTGCTTAGCAGTCACTGCCTTAGACTTCCATCTTAGCTCCAGAGCCCTGGGGACAGCCTTCATTCTGTGTGAACTTGTAAAAATAATGGGTTTTAAATGAGTCACTGCTAACTGGCTAACTAGGAGTTAAACTGCATCCCTGATAACAATGCCTAGAAGCCTTAACTCTTAGTACCTGCAAAGGTCACCCGTGTTTGGGAAGAGGGTCTTTGCAGATGTGATTGAGCTAAGATGAAGTCATCAGGTTGAGCTCTCATCCAACATGAGTGATGTCCTTATAAGAGAGGAGACGGCCACGTGATAAAAACAGTCCGCCTGCGGCACGCAGCTGGAAGCTGAGAGAGGCCACGGAGGGATGGCTGCCACCGGTAAGTCTGTTATCTTAAAGCCTCAGTTTTCGTGTGCATCCTTCACCAAATGAAGCTCCACACATGCCAGCAAATTCATTACCTATGAAGCCACATCATTAGATGGGAGGTTAGGGAGCCAAGAGCTCAGTATCTCGTGTGAGGGTGTGTCTAAGATGTGAGGAAGAGACAAGTAGTTCAAACTGTGATACACACAAATGCCATGATGGTGTAAGCAGAGAGTTAAACGAGAGAAACCAGAGGCAGCAAGCTCAGGATGTTGGGTGAGCTTCCTATCTGATGGGAGTCTTAACACACAAGGGTTAGCCTGGAGGGGAAGGGAAGAAGTTTTGGAGAAAGGAAACATTTGCGTAATATGGATATGCCTGGATATAGGGCACCATCAAGCAACTACAAAAAGTTCAGCATACTGTAATACTGATTGTAATACTGGTGTTTTGGCACTTATTTTTAAAGAAGATATAAACAACTATATTTGATTTTTTTTTAAGACATAGATGGGGTTACCCACTGAATTGTATCTCTCCCACAAAGTCGTAAGTTGACCTTATCACCCCCATACCTTAGAATGTAAC